AGTTCACACACAACTAAACAGCAGGATAACAGCTGTATAGAAGCGTTAATGGATATGCAATAAGAGCTTCTCCCGACCGTTCCAACAGCCATAAGTAGCTGACTTAGTTCGCCTGATTTGCTTGTATAGAGGTTGAGTAAAGGTTTCCTCATATCGTATAACGTCTGAATACAGCTTGAGACTGTATAAATGAAATAAGTAAAGCGTTTACATTGTGAAAATTGTTAGTTGGGCGTTACGACACGTAAAATAAGTTGGTTAGTTAGTTGTTACGTAAACAATTACTTGGATCGTCGGTTTCTTACGAATGACAACACACCCACTCAAACTAACTAAATAATCTGACTGAGAAATGTTTGTTCTATGAGCTGGTGTAGTCAGATTTCGTGGGTGTGTGGTCATTCAAGAGAAATCGACGTTCAAAGTCATTGTTTACGTTTCGAGTTTTACCCTTCTGTCATGTTTCCCCTGATGTTTTAACCATCCTGTGGTTATCGTTGTGATCAGAGAACAGAGCTCTTTCAGATGAGGTACACTCAACAATATTATAAACGAAGAAAGTTTAATTTTAAAGCATTTTATTGTTAGGAAATATTTATATATTGATCCGATTAAATTTTATTATCTATAATATGCTAATGAATCAAGAACCATTGGTGGATTACTTAAACTTTTGGTTAAAATTTGACAAATGGAAAATTATCTATTAACACTGCTATCCGAGCGTGGTTACTTCTGACAGACCAGAAGTTAAATTTAGACAACCTTGGCCAAGTTCTTCTCGAAAACCGGTCGAAAGATTTTTTCAACTGGAAGGCCCCGTTTGAATCACGATTCGCGATTTGACAGATAAAATGAGGGGTTCCTATGTTTCGAGGGGTGCATCGGTTAGCTTGGGACCGAAGATAGTACCAGAGCGGAGCCAAAAAGTTGAGCACATTTCTTCGGTACCTACTAGTCTTAGAGTTACCTCTATGGTGGAACCTTGTTATTATATTCCAAATTAATAAATATTTTTTTATTCCGAAAAACATTATTTTAGCTGAAATGAGTATTTGCAACCTTGCCTCTGAGTATTTCTATACTTGACTAGCCTATTGGTCCCAAGTACATCGGTAAGCGTAGTGTTGTCATATGGTACACTGAAAAATTGCAATAGAAGGTTCGTCACCAAAGTTTTTGAACCGCTCCGTCTGTCACTTGGTTTGTGCTACTACTGGATTGTACTAGCATTTTCATCAACCGTGGTACTAGAATGATATGAATTCTATCTCTTTCACTCTACTTAAAACTGAAATGCATTAAACAAAATTACAAAATGATACACTCTTTGCACACTGTCAAAGATCATTGCACACAAAATCAACTTTGTTCAAATCAACACAAAAATACTAGCCCATCTAGTGGCTGATGGTACAAGCTTCTAAGAAAATTCTATTACAGCGAACCACATTATTTTAATTGATTTCTTCGCCAGTTAGTATTTATTTATTTAATTAAATCTTCAACATAATGTTGTACAGATATTTTCTAGGCTAGGTGTCGAATTCTATGTCTGTAAGTAGACTTACTAATGTCAAAATCATATGCATCAAATGTTTCATTAAACACACGACAGCACAAAGTCCACGGTTTGTTGAATCCATAGTTGGTCCGCTGGGTAGGTTGCCACAGAAGCGTGTAGCTACGTAGAACTCTTTGAGGAGCATTGATGTAGATTTGGCTCACAAGAGAGTTGCAATCCACGTCACCGTTAAGCAATCCAAACACGAAGAGTCGCTGAAGTAGTTTCCTCCTTGCTGCCAACGTGTCCAGGTCAATCAGCCTGCACCGGTTTTTCGTAAGGCGGCAAATGTACCGAATCGTTCCAGGGCAGAACACGTAAAGCGTATCTTACGAAGTTTCGCTGAATGGCTTCGATTCTGTTAGCTTGAATAGCGTGAAAGGGTGCCCACACAACAACAGCCTACTCTAGAAGACTGCGGACGTGAGCACAGTATAGTGATTTCAACGCGTAGATGTTCTGGAATGCGTTTTTGTTTCGTTTCAAGAAACCTAATGTGGCGAATGCTTTAGCAGTTATCATGGAGATGTGCTCATTGAATCTGAATCAACTCTAAAGATGATAAAACCCAAATCCTTAACTGAAGAAACGAAGAGCAAACTACTGAGTCCTATCCTATAGTCATGTCGTAAGGGCTCGCGTGAACGGCTAAAAGATATAGCGCAGCATTTTGTGACATTAACCTGCATACCGTTCAATGTACACCAGCGCAAAAGGGAATCAATATCCTTCTGAAGTGCGCAACAGTCAAGTCTTGACTTAATTGTACGAAAGATCTTTAAGTCATCGGCGAACATAAGTTTCGAAGAACACAGTCGGCTACACAGATCGTTCACGAACAGGATGAAAATTAAAGGTCCCAAATGGCTACCTTGGGGAACACCAGAGGGTATCTCGAAACTAGGCAAATTAACACCGTTAATGCTCACATAGGCTGAGCGGTCAGTTAAGTAAGACTGTAGCCACCCAATTAGGTAATCCCATACACCTCATTTTGTCCACTGCAAGCACATGTGGAACCCTATCGAACGCCTTACTGAAGTCCACGTAGATCGCATCAACTTGTCGTCGTTTTTCAATGGAGTTGATCAGCGAGTTGACAAACACCATTAAGTTGGTTGTTGTAGAGCGTTTCCTCGCGAAGCCGTGCTGATGTTCGGTAATTATTGGTTTAACCGCTTGATATACGACCTCATATACGATCTTCTCCAGAGCTTTTGGGAGGCAGCTTAGAATCGAAATTCCGCGATAATTTTCAACGTTGTGGATGTTTCCAGCTTTGTGAATAGGTGTGATGGACGCAACCTTCCACATTGTAGGGAAAACACCACTAACTAGCAAACGATTGAAGATAATCGACACAGGTGAAGCGAGAGATGCAGAAAATTTCTTAATGAACGATGACGGCCAACAGTCTGGACCAGGGCCTTTAGAGGGATCTACAGATGAAAGAACTGTCATCACCTCTTCAACAGATAGATCCAACTGCGGCAAATGCAAGTTGTAATGAGCTATGCTGCTCATCCAGTCACGACCATCATCCGGAGAATGAGCGGGAGGAGTCGAAAAAACATCTTTGAAGAATTTTGCGAAGAGATCAGAAGCTTCTTCCGCGGAGTCAGCACGAGCTTCTTTATAGGACACATCGAGTGGTATACCGCCATTCCGCCTAAGTTTCTTCACCTAGGTCCAAAAAGACGATAGATCCCGCTTTGCCTCCGACTCAATGCGCAATGCATATTCATGGAAAACTGTGTTCAACCGGCTAGTGTAGTGCTCCTCCATGTCGTGAAGTAATCACCTGTTTTCCTCAGTCCGTTGTTTGAAAAGACGTTTCCTTGCTTTCCGTAACCTGTTTCGGAGGTTCCTAAGTTCCGTGGTCCACCATGGTTGATTTTAGTGAACACGGAGGCAATGTCGTCGAATAGGAGTATATTCGTGGATGATATCGAAAATGGCACCATAAAACCGGAAAACAGCATCGTCAACGTCAGTCAAAAGCGTCGTCCAGTCTATCGAGCCTATCCGGGCGTTGATAAGGGGTTAATTGCAGAAGTTGAAATCGTAATAACACCGGTCCAGCCAAACGTCGTCAGTATTACGAAGGTAGTCAAATTTGATGATAAAAGATTTGTGATGAGCGTCGAGTTTTAAAATTCCACAGGGCGATTCGAAAAGTTCGATTCTGTCAGTATCACTAACGAAAGCCAGGTCAAGTAATCTCTCGTTTACGTTACGTACATCCTGAACCTGCTGTAATCCACATGCAAGGATCGACTGGGTCAAAGCGATTTCTTGTTCAGATGAAGCGTTGGTCGGGATGTAAGATTATACCCCCTTATTCTGCGAGTCACGTGACTCTCTGTCACCGGTGAGGTGACAATTGTCACCTCGTGTGAGGTGACTCTCCATCACGCAGAAAAATGGATTTTTGTTTCAGGGCCTAATGTATTTTGTTATTGATTCAAACATATTGTATCACTATTTCAACAAAACATATTTTTGAATCAACAAAATGGTTTTTAGAATCAACAAACAGATTATTGACTCTACAACCGGTTTGTTGATTCAAAAATATTTTTCTTTGAATTAACCTAATAATATATTTGAAACAATATCAAAAATACATTAGGCCCTGAGTCAAAAATATATCCATTTGAATTTAAAAACCATTTCTCTGCGTGATGTAAATCAAATGGAGAGTCACCTCACACGAGGTGACTATTGTCACCTCACCGGTGAGAGAGAGTCACGTGACTCGCAGAATAAGGGGGATAGTCTCCCAAAACTATGACTGTATCGGTAGTTTCAGCAAGCTCACACAATTCTTGAACACAAGATGCATGATTGGAGTACATGGCGCAGTCCGAGTAAGGCCTTAAGTAGACGCAACATATGTAGACCGACGAGTCGTCTGTCACTTCGTTTGTCCTTTTACCTAGACTTATAATATATATAAATTTAATTGTTCGAAAATCGCTCTGTTGTTGTTTTTTGTCTGTCAGAATTAAGCCTGGTGGAATAGAAGGTTTTATTTAAATTCCATCTGTCTACCTATCGTATAAAATGACCACATTGATATTTGACGTTAAGCATCTCTAACTATGTAAATCGTTAACTTCACGCATGGAGCAATACAAATATGACTAGTTAAAGTTTTAGAACCTGTTAATATGCACATCTCTTAACGATAACGAGTGTTTGCGGTTTACTGTACCTCGGACACTATAGAGGTAGTGAAAGGCAAATATAATTTCGCTTACACTGCGATTCGTTCAGTCAGTGGCTTGGTTGTTTAATCCAATTCTCCATTGGATACAGTAAGACCCAAAGAAAGCTCAATTTTCCTGCAAGATTAAAGGCTTTCACAATATATCTCTGGAATAATTCTCCTGTTGTTCGATTCGAATCGTTCAAAATTTTAGTAGGTATATTTTAAGCACGACTAAATATTACACATAACTCGTAGTCAGTTGACAGTCTAAAAGAGGACAGTTGAGGTTTTGTTTGATTGTTCAATTGGCTTCCCGAAGAGCCTACGAATAATACCTAGCATACATATTTATATGGCATCACATTTGTAGTTATATTACACATTAGAATCTCACTCCACTTCAGCGAACCGGAAACTGCCCGCTCAATATCACGCATATTGAATCGGCCAAATGGCATTCTTTTCGCAGTTGGAAGCTTCCTCATCCTTGCAGAATGTATTGAAGGTCAAGTCCTTGGCAAAACCTAAAATTTCCCGTTCCTCATAGATTCTGTAAGTGAATGTCGATTCATATGTCCCGATAAAATACCGTGCATGGGAGCAAACAATCTGATCGATTACGGCCACTCCTCCATCCTTCAGCCGGGTCAGCTCGTCCCGACTCTCCGGACTATACCGGACCACCTTGAACCGTTTCAGGTAGTTCTTCAGATCGTGAAACTCCGACTTGGAACAATCGGACGACACAAACACCTTGCGCAGACCCAGCTCCAGCAGCTTTCGTTTGATCTGCACAGCGGCCGAATGCAGCGTCGGAGTGGTCTTCTCCCTACCGTACAGGAAATCAGCTCGCCGCATATGGGCACACAGATAGTCCCCGCCCTTCGTCTTCCGGTACGGTTTCTCCTCGGTCCAACTTGCCGGCCGTTGAACTCGGTCCCATTCGTTAGTTGAATTGAAATAATCCAAACGAAACCTGTTCGCTATCCTGACTAGATCCCGGTTGAATCGCATCGATCGTCTAGCTTCCCAGTAGTCCACATTACCCCAATAGTCATGCAGAACCGTTTCCGCTCTTGCCAGGAAAATTACCCTATGGCTGTAGCGTTTCTTTGGCTTGAATTTCTCAAACATGGAATGAAGCAACGATGCTGATCCCTGGAATTTCACACATATCCTCTCATCTATGGTGACGTTTCTGAAACCCATCACACCGGAAACGCCAGTCATCGTTGGATCCGTTTCCTTCTTGCACACCGTCTGTTCGAATTTATCCACAAAAACTCCATTCTCAAACATATCGTCAAAATGGCTTAATTTGTAGAACTCGCCTACTACCACACTGCTCCGGCTGTCCGGCTTGGTCAGCTTTCTGTACTCGTCAAAGAACTCCCATGCTTCCAGAACATCCGCGTAGCTTCGCATCGATTGCAGATCGAAAAAGTGTCCCCACGGCAGGTGCATTTGATTGAGATAGCCGGAACGCCAATGGAACAGCTCCGACCACGGAGGCAGAACTAATTTGCTGCTTTCGTAACCGGGACGCGTTTGCAGACCGCGCAAAAACACCGCCAGCCGGATGTACACGTCTCGCCGGAGGTTGAACCCTTCGGATGGATTCACGTCGTACAGGATGAAGATGGTCGGCTCGAGGATTGGAGCGAGTTGTTCCGATTGGTGGTAGCATCTGTGGTAGGTTAGGAAGAAGTCACGCCAGGTACACACTGATCGGTGACCGTCCACGGACAGCACGGGTTTGAGAAAGCAAAAGTGGAACAGAATAGCGAAGAGCCATCCTAAAAATAGGAAGTAATGAGGACTTTTTCAAAGCTTATTGAATGTTCTGCACTTACTAGGAACCATGCTGAGTATCACAAGTCACTGGGTCGTTCCCGGAACGGAACTGAAGTCTTTTTGGCACTGGAACAAGTCTTATCGATTTTTCTCTCCTGCCTACCCGGCGGTGGCTCGAATAAGCTCGGATACACAAAAATGAGAGCAAAAAAAAATAATGTTCAATGTTTATGTTATTCGATAAAAGGAAGGAAGGAAGGAGAGATTAGATGAGTGTTTGATAACAGCAGCGCAGGAACCGTCAAACGGTGGGTGGCGTTACGACTCACCGAGGTGTGTATGTATGTGTGTGTTATGATCGTTACACTTTGGGATACATTGAAATACTATGGCGTTTTTTTCGAATGGTGATGATGGGAGGGATTTATGCTTGGATCTATGCAAATTTGGGTGGGTGTAATGAGGGGCATAATGAACATACGGAGTGATTTGAGCACCTCCTTTTTCTCCAATATTATACATTGTTTGAGAAAAATTACTACACAGTACGCTAATGTATGATCTAAGTAAATGTGAGAAATCTTTTAAAAGCAACCTCAAAATTTTAATTGTTTTCTGCTGTTCGTATGACTACGAAACCTAGGGTCCTTTTTGATTGGGTCGAATGTAGCATTTTTGTCAATTAAAAAAATGAGGTGTTTTGGTGAACAACAAATTTTTATATTTTTAATGAGATAGATAATTCTTTCAAAATTCCCATTTAGTTACATCTCAGGAGTGCTGCTATCGACTGAGCAAGGTATTGATAGCGTTTCTGTTAAAATACAAACGTTTTTCAAACAAACAATATTATACCTATACAATCTTGATTTATCAAGGCCATACAATATTCTCAGTCTTCTAAACTGTTCAAGAGTACAAACCAATTGATCTACTTGATCAACCATGGCTTGCACAATATTCTTAGCAACCGAACATATCTAAACATATTCATGCGCATCACTTACGATCATATTCCTTTGTTTATAAGATGTTCTAAGTTCTTCAAATATTCCTGGAGTTTAGATCATTCGATGTTTTAGATCAACCAAGAATGAAACAATGTCCCTAGCATCGAAAAATGTCCAAGTAGATTAATTGAGTCAATACACCATCATTAAATGATCCTTTTCTTTGTACAGTCAGGAATCCTTATTGCCAGGGTAACGGGGGCGTGAATAAGGAACCGCGAATAAGGATACCCACAGCTTATGGGATTTTCACTATTGGGGGCTGTGGTGGATTATCTCATTTGTTTCAATATATAAAGCTATACTGTCTTCGACAAAGTTGTTGTACTGGGATAGACCAACAAGCTTGTGTCAAGTTTAATTAACAAATACGCCGCTAGAGGCACTTCACTATTATGTTACTTATGACGGGCGCTATAACATATGAATCTTAGGTCAAACATATAATATTCCGTGATCCTGGCCATATAGCAAGTTACTGTCTTGAGCAAAGTTGTTCAAGTGACCAAGTCCTTTTGTATGGTGTTCATATTAGTTCATAAATATTTCACTACGCAGCGCTAGTGTGCACATGAGCTTCATATGTAAGCTGTATCTCAAAATCCTGGCCATATAGAAAGTTACTGTCTTCAGCAAAGTTGTTCAGGTTATCATGTCCTTTTGTATGGTGTTCATATTAGTTCATAACTCTCTCACTACGCAGTGCTAGTGTGCATGTGAACTTCCTATATAAACTGTATCTCGAGAACCTGACCGTATAGAACGTTGCTGTCTACAGCAAAGTTGTTCAGGTGACCTAGTCCTTTCGGATGGTGGTCATATAGATTAAGAACTCTCTCACTACGCGGCGCTAGTATGCACATGAACTTCTTTGATATGTTGTGTCTGGAAAGCTTGTCCATATAAGATGTTGCTGTGCAATGTGAGAATACGAAACGGAGTACGGATGACGTGTAGAGAGGAACGACGTGTAGAGGCTGGGAATCGATGCTAGATGCTATTTTTAAATTCAAGATGGAGGCACTCGATTCAAAAAAACTGTCAAATACCCTACAATATGGGTATTTCCGGATAGGAGATAACGTGTAGAAGCCAGAAATCAATGCCAGACAGCATTTTGGAATCCAAGATGGTGACCACCAGTTCAAATACCCTACAATATGGGTATTTCCGAATAGGGGACGACGTGTAGAGGCTGTAAACCGATGCCAGACACAATTTTTTAATCCAAGGTGGCAACAATCGGTTCGAGAAAAACTGTCAAATACTCTAAAATATGGGTATTTCCGGAAAGGGAACAACGTATAGGGGGTGACGGAGGAGTTTTGCGCAGCCAAGAACATTAGCTTCAAGGCTTTGCTGCTCCTTGATAATGCTCCGTCGCATCTGCCCACCCTAAGCAATCCCAACATAATGCTTCTATACATGCCATCAAAGATCACGTCTTTGATTCAATCCCTTGATCAAGCCATCATCAAAAATTTCATGCTGAAGTATTTCAAGAGAAAGTATTTCTGGAAACAGCCGAGAATGAAGGCCTTTCACTAGCGCATACACGAAAGTAGTTCTGCATCAAGAATTGTTTCGACTGCTTGAATGTGGTTCTAAAGGACATAAAACAAAGCACGTAGGTAAACTGCATGAAGAAAATTCTTCCGTCGTATTTCGCGAATTCACAATGCAATGAAGACGACAACGCGGATTTGCAGATCATGTCCGAAATTCAACAAATTCACGGAAAGTTTGGTGTGCCGGGGATAAGAAACACGGTGAAATCAACGAAATCATAATGATTTGAGATGAACCGGCTACAGCAGATTAAATTGTTAGCAAACTGGACCCATCTACAATGAATATGACATTTCTCGTTGGCATCACTGGACTTCCTATGTCACTAATGTTAATTTTGACGTTGGACGCGCGTTCCGACTTGGTGGGTGCGCGACAATGAGATGAATTTTATGCTTGGATTTTATTTATTTTACATCATTTCCGCATTCGCCCTACTCAGATAACCCTTCTGAAACTTGTGAGTTTGACAGAACCACCAGCACCAAAATGTTGGAGTTGTCAAGTTGCCCCTGGGTTGGGAGTGACCTATCCCTTGGATGCATTTCATAATTCTAACTCAACATTTCAGAACATTCCATGGGATTTTCAAAGAAACTCTGCCTCCAATCAGAATCATCGCCAATTGCCTAATAACAGTTCTGGATGCTGATAAAAAAACACACTTTGAAATATATTTTACCCGAACACTTGCACTTGCTTTGTACTAAAGTTCTTTCTATTATGTGGCACATTGTTTCGAGCTAAAACGCGATGAAAAAATCAATTGGGTTATTTGTATTGAGGTAAATACTTATTCGAAATCCAAAATTTCATAAATTTTTGTGTAATGCACCAGAACTTTTTTGAATAAGTGCGATTACATTAGCAAAAATCACCATCTTAGTGCCCCTCAGTGGGACTTTACATTAGAGCGAGCTTTCAACTTATAGATTTAGTGTCAAAAATGATTTTTGTAATCTTGATTTAAAATTCGATGGGATCGATACAAATATCGTTGTACTCAGGAAACGAACCATGGAACTTTCGTACCATGGTTACAAATCATGGCCTACCAGGCAACATATTCTTCTGATGTGTACGCCGATGGTACATCTCCCTTTTTTCAAAAGAGATCGTAGGGTGCCAGCCAAGCTGGAAGTCTACGGGTTCTTTCTTCGCGCTGTTGAACTGGTTCTTGAATATTCACACTGTTAGCAGGAACAACGGATTCATCAGTCGTCATTACATCATCGGGCTCGTCATGGAATTGGTTCTTCTATCAGCACTGCTGGGACCAACGGTTTCGGAGCTTGTAGGTGGAACTCGTCAACTAGCAAGGCCAAGGGAAGTTGATTGCGTGGATTTGGAGATTGATCGGCATCATTTTCATCCGGATATCGTTGTTTTAGCTGGTTGGTGTATGCTCGAATCAAGCGTCCATGTTCGAGCAAGACAGTGTAGTTCACCTTGCCCTTGCGCTCGATTACCTGTCCTGGAATCCAATCGATTGTTTTGCGACGATGGACCTGAGCGTAGACCAAATCATCCGGATTGAATGATTTCTTCACTGCGTCATGCCGTCTGTTGAATTCAACGTTCTGCTTCTCGTTCTCCAAGGTTGAACTCTGAACACAGGGCTTCAATAGGTCCAGCGTTGTTCGTATTGGTCTTCCTAAAAATAGATGGGCAGGTTTCTTACCATCCGGAGCGCTTCTATTTGGAGTTGACCGGAAAACTGAGAGGATCGTCTGGAATGCTGTCGTCAGGTGGTGGATCCCATTTTTTCACAGAATTGCTTGAATCGAGCACTTACAAACTGGGTACCGTTGTCCGAAATGAGGGTGTGTGGGTTGCCGTACCTTGCGAAAGTTTCGTGCAGAATTTCCAATGTCGCTGTAGTAGTTGTACTGCAGCACAGGGGCGACACTGGCGCACAAACGTTTCAACATCGTCGTCGATGTTGGGTCAGCAAACGAAACTTCTTGCGAGTAACTTCATTCGGTCTATTCCGGGGTGTCCACGGTGGAGTTGTCGGATGATGCGCTTGCGAAATCGTTCTGGAACTACAACTCTGTCAGCGAACATGACGCAGTCTTGGGTGACCTGGAGGCTCTCTCGTCGGGGATAGAACTGACGAACAGCTGTATTTGGTAGCTCGCTTACAGTGTTTGGCCAGCCATTGCGGATGTAGTTGATTACCTCTTGTAGGGCCCGGTCGCCTTGCGTTTCCTTGGAGATCACATCGGATGTGACCGGCAAGCTGGATATTGAGTCTGCGAGAATTGCCTTCACGTCAGATTCCGTTTGGAGAGCAGCAATCACGTATTCCTCGTCTGGTTTGCTGTGACAGCTCATCAAGCGGGACAACACGTCGGCATGACCAAAACTAGCCGTTGGGATGAACTGGATGTCGAAATCATACAGCAGCATCGTTAGCGCCCAACGCTGAACACGATTGGCGGTGTAAACGGGAATGCCGTTCTTGCTGCCGAAAATTTTAAGGAGCGGATTGTGGTCGGTCTGCAGCACGAATTTTCGTCTGAATATCATCTTGTGAAAACGGGTGACAGCAAATACCAACGCGAGCGCTTCCTCCTCAATTTGACCATAGTTTTCTTCTGCAGGTGTCAGCGACCTCGAAACGTGAGCGACGGCTTGAACGGACCCGTTCGAGAAGCGATGTAGGATTACAGCGCCCAAACCATTCTTGGAAGCGTCTCCAGCGACGATGATTTCCTTGTTGGGGTCGAAATGAGTCAGCAGGAGATCGGAGACCAGGATGGTTTTGAAACGATCAAACGACTTTTGGCAGTTCGCGGTCCATTTCCAAGGAGCATCCTTCTTTAGTAGACGGTCAAGCGGCGCTCGAAGTTCCTTCATCTGGAATCGTCCGTAATAGTTGATAGCACCAAGGTACGAACGTAGTTGCGATACATTCATCGGTAGTGGCATCTCGGAGATAGCGTTGGTTTTAGCAGGATCTGGGCGGAGACCATCTTTATCGATTATGTGACCCAGACACTTGATCTGCGGAAGAGAGAACCGGCACTTCTCGATGCGTAAGTGGAAGCCATACTCACTGTACTGTTCAGCGATCAAAGTATGGCTTGACACCAGGAATGCCAGCAACCATACTATCAATGATCCTCTGGAACGCTCCAGGCGCAGATTTGACTCCTGGTGGCTATCGATTGTACTGGAACAGTCGTTTAAGAGTGTTTATAGTGAGCAGCTTTCGAGATGCTTCTTCAACCTCGACCTGCAGGTACGCATCAGATAAATCGATGTTGGAGAAGAAACGGCATCCGGCTAGTTCGGCATAGATGTCGTCTGGATGGCGATCTTACTCGAGGGCATCGGTGAGACCTGTAGAGTAGTCACCACAAATGCGTACGGAGACATCGGACTTGCGAACCACAACTATGGGGGCAGCCCAATCGGAGAACTTGACTGGTGAAAAATGATGCCGTTGTCTTGAAGCCTTTGGAGCTCAGCATCAACCTTCGGAAGTGCAGCGTAGGCAACCGGTCATTCGATTGTGGGTGGTAATGGGGCTGTCGTCAGGTGGTGTATCCCATCCTCGTCGCCAATATATCAAGCTGAACATTGCATTAGGTCCTAAGTAACATTGATCGATTATCTTCGTCGACTTTCTCTTTCGTTAATAACTTGAGCACATAACCGTTTTTTGTTGTGTTTGCCGTATTAGATGTGAGGTTACAAAGAGAAAGTCAACGAAGAGAATCTGTCAATGTTACTTAGGACCTAATGCAATGTTCAACTTGATATGTTGTGTTCTCGAAGAGAAGGAAACTAGTTTTAGGTTTAAGAGCTAATTATATTTCGACTTGTCTCTTCGGTTGTTGGAACTAAACTGGCAAAATATTTTCAGTTTGTTACTTTCGTACCATGGCTACAAATCATGGCCTACCAGGCAACATATTCTTCTGATGTGTACGCCGATGGTACACAGATGATGTATAAAAACCGGTATGTCTTTTGAAATTAAACAACCCAAATTCTAGAAAAATAAAACCGGAAGTTTGACACTCGGAAATTTTTCGAGTCCGATCTCTCGATCATGATATGATGTACTCATCATTGTCGGGTCTGCTCGGGTACATAGGTTATTTCAATAGTCTTTTTGTTGATCGTTTTGGTTATATATTTAGTTAGTATTGCTACTTTTATTAGTTTTTAAATCATGATCATTGCAAACACAATAAACACTATTTCAATCGATTCACAGCACAGATACGATATTTTCTCATATCAGCTTTTCAATGCTTTTCAAGAAATATCACGCAGCACTAACATTAATACGGCCTACTTCCTCCTCGCGTGACTCCTTTCATTTATAAATTTCGAAAGTCTGTCTGGATTCGCTGATTTATGCTTAATTCAATAATTCAGTGAATTTCGATTCAGATTTATCACCAAATCGATTATTCACAATCCCCGGCTCCCCCCCGCCCCTGACAACTGGCAGGACCTTATTTCCACTTGAACGGTCCCGCCACCACCAGCATTAGAGAATATTACCAAGTACAGAGAAACAGCGAGGAGTCCTCTTGGCGACGAGCAGTTCCAACTAAGTATACAATTAGAATAGTGCTTTGGTCCACCACACTGTCCGGTTTCCGATAAAAATTGAAATAAATTAGCAATTCCTCCGGAAGATAATGAGATTAATAATTCATAAAATTGTCCTTCTTGCTCCCATATTGATGGATGATGAGCGACGCGTCTGATGTTGAAGGACACTGAGCAGCGTGTGGGTTTCAACGGCATTCGCCAAGAAAGATGGTTCTGGATCAACGGAATCAACGGTATAAAAGTGCCGGGCAGCATCCTTGGACTTCACAGTTCGCCTTCCACGATCGCGCTTTGCATGTGTTTTGTGTGTCCAATCCCAGTGTCTAGTGAAGCCCCAATGAAGTAACCCAATCAGTAGGAATAAGTGAACTTAAGCTGTGATTCTGATTCCCGGGAATCGCACTGTTGTTGCATCTCATCTGTGGCTGTGGTTGTATAAAATTTAAGTGTTATAACTTATCAGAACGACGTAAACGAAAATGTCTGCCGGCCCGGTGCTATTGCTGTCCGTTCTTCTGACTGGATACATCTACTGGAGCTTTGCCCAACCGTTAGTACACTTTTAGAATTACCAAAAGCAAATGTAGTGTTTCAACCCTTTCATACTTTTATTCGATTTTAGAGAAATTTCAAATTTCACCCTGCCTAACGTCAAAAAATCTTGATTTTGTATTCTTAGGTTAGCCAAAATTTAATTTCAAAGGTTAGCAAAAATTTCCAAATTTAGACGGAAATCTTAAAATTAGTTGAAAGTCAAATTAGTTAAATCTCCAGGCATTTTTTATCAAGACAATTACTCTCAACATGGAGTAAAATATAATGAAAATTATCCCTGAATTATGATTTCTTTTTAACAGAATTTACAACTTCACTATTGTCGATTTAATGAGCCAAGATTGTTAAGACTTGCGCTTTATATTTTAGAAGGAATGTCGAGACTAAACATAAACTATCAAGTTTTTGAATACTTTTCTTCGGAATTCCTCTCAATGTTCTCTAAAATTTCTGCTCGAAATTCCAGAAAATCCTTTAAATTCTCTTCTTAGAGTTCCGTTGGAATTATCCTCTGAACTATCCTCGGAATTCCCTTTTTCAAAACTTCTATGAAAAATGCCGTTAGGATTTCTGTAACTTAAGAATTACTTTGCATTTTCTGAATCATTTTCACAGAATTCTTCTCAGATAGGATTTTGTTAAATATAATTCCATGAGTTTTCCATGTGTTTCTAGAACTGCAATGAAAAATTTCCATGTTTCTAAAAACGATAAAAAAATATGCTAGTTTTGGTAAAACAATAACCACTAGCCTTTTTACTTATTGTGCAAGCTGATGGGTTTATTTGTTTAACACATTTAAAGACATATCAAGCGTAACTATTCAAAACGACGTATCCGCTTTTGTAAACAATCACTTCAATCGTCGATTTGTCTTAACTGCTAACTCATCCACGCAAACAAACACCATCATCAGTCTCAAATCGTCGAAATTGTTTACAAATCGGATACGTCGATTTGAATAGTTACGCTTGATATACTTTAAATTATTAGCAAAATCACGAAATATTATCATTTATAGGAGGATAGTTATTTTCATCCTAGGTTCCAGACCAAACATAATTAATTAGACAACTACTTCTACTATTAGTCATAGAAATATTTTACGTCGATAGGTTTCGAAATAGAGCGCAAAATTTGGAATAAACTGGTAATATTACAAATCAAAGGAAGTTTAGTTCTAGAAGTCGATAATTTGTAGAACTAAGTTCAATTTATCGCAAATTTTACAAATTATTAAATACAAAAAGTTGCAAAACATTCTCCAAAGAATTCTCCTGGAAATATCTCTCCTCAGTATTCACTAAGTAATCTTCTACAAATCCTTTGGACTAATCTTCGGAATTCCCTCTATATTGCCACTCGAAAATCTAACGGAGTAGATCCGTGAACTCCTTGAAATGGAGGCGAACCAGCCCAAGGCTGAAAGCCTCCGTAATAAAGTTAAATAATAATAATAATAATAACTCCTTGAAATGGTCCTCAGAAATCCTTAGGAATACTTTTTAGAGTTCTCTTAAGATAAAATTCTCCATAGTATTCCATTGGAATGTACCTCAAAATATCGTTGAAAATTTCTTTGCTACTTTCCTCCAAACTTCTTTAAAATACTTCTAAGTGTAAATTCTTTGGATTCTCCTTCTTCTCTTGAAATTCTACTTAGAAGTACCTTGGAGTTCTCCTTAGAATTCACTTTCAGTACTCCTTACAAATCCCTTAGAAATGTCTCATTAACACAAGGGGTAATCAACTCTGCACACTGTGCCGAAATACAGCACGGCACACGGTTAGGGCACACTTTGACAAGTATGACACAAAATATAATATCCAACGGCAGCACTGTTGTTTGCTATCGTTGTTCCAATAGTTGCTAAGGTTTCGCACTTCGGATTAGAAGACATACATATACTTTGCTCGGATCTCTCCTGCAGCCAGTACTTCGTCCAATTCCCTGCAAGAGTTGTCAAAGTTTGAGTGATGCACCTGCAACAGCAATAACTAGGTCACTCTCAGGATCACTTGCTTGGCGTTTCCGGTATAGTTTCCAATATCGGTAATCACGGTTCACATGGGTCAATGCCACAGGGTGGCCAGATACATAGCGTCATACAAATCAGGCACCTTCCTGCCGGATGAGCGATCTACGCCACCACTAGTCACACACCTTGTTTAAATAATCAGGATTATTTAAATAAATAGTATGATACCCAATTGTACATTCTTAGACAATTTATTAGATAGGCTTTCTGTGAAACAAATTAAGTATATTTTGACAACCTGAAAATCCTCACTAATCTTCAAGTAGCCGCTCTCCGCTTGCGGCTGATTGAACAGTTCCGCCTCGAAGTTGCTATCGTTGTCATACCGCTTCATAATCAACGCCACGGACGCTTGATGTACTCGTGGTTGATGAGCGTTTCCGGATTTATGAGGAGTTGGGCTTCGGAACCGGCTTCCGCTACAATCAGTGTTTTGTTGGTGATGAACGGTCCGAATCTTGAAACAGATTTGGTTTACTTTGCCCAGTTTTCTTATTCGGATAGAATTTCCATACTGCAGCAGTGATTGTTGAATACATCAATTCATTACGCTTCTTTTTCTCGCTCAATCACACAAGTCATTAAAACTTCAGTGTTGCCAAACTCATGGGATCCTTGATTGGCAGATTTCGGCACAGCTAAAACATTCGGCACAGATTGAGGTGTGCAGAGTTGATTACCCCTTGCCTTAACATGACGTTGCAGTTTAAGTCAGAAATCTCTTAGAATTATCTTTGGAATTTGCTTGTATTTGCCATGCTCCACACAATTCACAATTTACCTGGAGTCTGAAGTTCTTAAAAACTAATTTGAAAGGAACCCTCAGATTTCACTTTCCTAAAAATTCATCCTGGTGAGTGTTAACGCCACATCATCTTTGAAAATCTTGAGATCAAATGTGCATTTCTCCCATGTTAAGAAAAAATCACCAAGAGTAATTTGAGAGCTCTGCAATCTCGTAGTTGCTTCAGCTACAGGTCGAAAGACTGCCGAAAAGCGCTGGATAAACTCCAATGTCGATGATCATTTCCTCGACTCCTTCCGTCAACGTACAAATGAAGTCCTTCACCACCAGCAAGCTGTTCACCATCATATAGGTGCTATTCCACCTAGTCAAGCAGTCCAGCTTTGGCTTCTTCTTATTGCTTACCTCAAACATCCTTTTGTAGGGTAGTTTTCTCAGCTTTTTCACAGCACTCCGAGTTTTTGAAAGTTGATTTTTCAATTCTACTGCTTTTATAGTGTCGTTAACTGCCAGCTGCAAAGTGTGTGCCGCACAACGAACTCCTTGCAAAATTGGATCTATGAGTTCCAACCACAACCGTTTCCTCCAATTCGTCATCAGACACTGCATCCGAGATTCTTGGACGAGTCGTGTGTCCTTCAGCACAAAGCAACGCATCAAAATCGTTGAGGGCCTCTTGTTGTGTCATCTTGAGACGGTTTACTGTGGCAAGAATATTGTTCGCATTGTCAGATGTCACCGTTAAGATGCGTCGAATTTCAATTCCGTATGGGTGCAGAATTTTTAAAATTTCTGTGGTCAAGTTAACAGCTGTGTGATTAACGTGTAACTCGATGACGCCCAGCGTTCTGATAATAGTGTAATTATTTTTCACATACTGGATGTTTACGCATATGAAATCCCGATCCATTCTGGACGCCAGATCGACTTTAACGCACGCAAACATACCGTCGATTTCCGAAACAATAATCTTTTGAATTTGTCCGCAGACACTCCTCAGAAACGGCTTAATTGAATTCGGATTCAAGTGCTGCGCCATCTTTAGCCCATCTTCAATGGGTCGGATGATTCGTTGAAACGCTGGATATCGTAACACATTCAGAGGAAGCCCATTAACCGTAACCAGTTTCAATTAATGAGGTGGTCAGCGTCTTAGCATCCAGTCGTACCTCAATTTCCTGAATATTCCTGGAGCTCTCTCCTTCATCGTCATCTTTATCCAACAGACCATGTTGTCGTGAAAATGCCTTGTGCATGGATCGGTAGTGGCGATAATAGCTGAACTTTCGTAAATCCGTAATTTTCCTCTCACACTGCAAACGAATAGTTATTTTAGAAGTGTTTAGCCATTAGCTGGGGTTCTAACGACCCCCATATCAGCTATGCACGCAGGACGTAGGTACTATGTACTATGCAGCCCTCGCTCGATCTCGCCGAGCTGGGCTCATGAGACGCAGCACATGTGACACGAATGAGGCACGAAGGAACATAAAAGGGACGCGAAATAATATGCCTCGAAATGTACCCAGGTACCTTACCTACGATGTGGTGGACAGCACGTCTCCAGCACGCTAGGTGGAAGCACGTGTACATTAACTCTGGTTAAATACGAATATTATTCTATATTTGGCAACCCGGTATTTCTGACAGCTTGAATGTTTTGGTTTGCATTCGCAACGGCCCCGAATATGTCGAATATCGTGCTGGGTAAGGATTCCTTCTATCGGCGCCGGTGGTGTAGTGGTAAGCGTGACTGCTTTCTCACCCCAGTAGGTCTGGGTTCAATCCCAGCCGAGGTCGGTGGGATTTTACTGAGGCATAACAATTTCTGGTCACTTAAAGCCGTTGTTCCCGGCCCATGTGTGTTTGAATGGGTGCGTCAATGGATGGCAATCGATGTCCGTCGGTGATTGGCACAAGATTGCGGAACAGAGACCGACATGTAAAATAAAGGAATGAATAAGAAGAAGGAGGATTCCTTCTACCGACGAATAAAACGCCTCTACGCCAACTGGAAGGAACCACCGTTTTTCCATGATGATTCGCTGCAGAAGGTGGAATGCATTCTGACGGCGGTCGGCGTAGACGAGGAAATCATCCACAGCAAATCCACCTCGCTGCAGACCTGCCTGCTGGAATACGAGCTGACCGATACGATTACGGTGCTGGGCGAAAAGTCCATCTTTTTCCTGACCAACAAGATGATCGACTTCTTGAAGCAGATCTAGAAGGACGGTGAGGAGGGCATTCCGTCGGTGAAGTTGTTGGTTCGGGATAAAAACGACAAAGACAAGGCCAATTTTGAAAAGCTGCTGGAGGCGATCAAGAGAGGCCAAGGATGGCAAAACGTTAGGCGTCTTCTCCAAGGTCAACTTCTCGGTCGAATTCTGTGAATCGTGGCGAGCCTTCGTCAAGGACAAAAGCTTCGACACGGTGGACATCTCAGCGTCCCAATTGGATACATCATGTGCTCCTGGACTATGAGGTTATCACCATCAAGAAGGCCTGCCTGGTGACGATAGACGCATTCAACAAGTGCCTCAAGGATCATATCATGGAGATAATCGATGCTGATAAGAAAGTAAAACATGGTAAACTGTCTTAGGGTGTCGAGCAGGCTCTGATGGACAAAAGGTACGTCTCCGGTGTGGATACCAACTAATTGGACATGTGCTACGCTACAATCCTACAATGGTCAATCCTACGGAAACGATTCAGAAGCACTACACCTTTCTGCTCAATCTGCAAGAGGAACTGCTGAAGGTGATGATTCCGAGTAAGAAGCTCTCGGAGGTTTTCAACGTCGGAATGGATTATGCCAAGAAGGAGGATCCAAGCTAATACGTTAGGTTTTGCCATCCGATTGGAGTTCCGGGAGAATTCGAGTAAGTTGTAAGTTAATTAGGTTGAGTGGTAGCAATCAAAATTCCGTGTGATTGTGCCGTGAAAAGTAGTTCGGCCTTGTAAGGACCCTACTTTTCAGCAGCAAATTACCAGCACTCCATCAATTGGTCATCTACCAAACAAAACTCACTTGAATAATAACTTACAATTTATTATTTTATGTTACTAAAATCGAAAACCTTCACTGCCATCAAAGCATATCCATCGTTGCCCCAGTAGTTGGACCAGGAGTTCTTCATTAGCCAGTAATCTTCCGTATCCAACCGCAACCACTGCATGATCCAATCCATCCAAATTGTTCTTGCATTCCGGTTCGTAGTAGTAGATTAGAAGAAAATAATGAAGAAAGTCGGAAATCAGAGGGCTTACGGATCAGTCGAAAGAAACTTCAAGGAGAAGGTGAAGAAAATTCCGAAAGAAATAGATTTCTTGGGGATGTTACCAAAACATTCCCTGATGATCCTTAAAACATCCTTGACGACCCAAGTTTCCTGAACATTCCTGAAAATCACTTCAGAATATCACTTAATTCCTCGAAACTAATTGAAAGTTCTTGCAAATTTCCTAAAGTTTATGGAGCTGTTTTGAAGTTCTCTGATCATCCTAGGGGCTGTTCATAAACTACGTAGACAGTTTAGGGGGGGGGGGGGTTGACAATTATCCACGGCCCATACAAATTTTAAATTTTTTGTATGGACAATTGTCTACGCAGGGGGAGGGAGGGGGTCAAGAATCCCAAAAATCTGTCTACGTAGTTTATGAACAGCCCCCTAGAAGTACTCGAAACGTCCTTGATTATATTGAAACTACCAGAAAATCTATAATCTTCTTTGAAGGTATCCGGACTTTCATGAAGATTCCGAAACATCTTAAGTGCTCTCACAATATTTTTAACAATTAATGGAACTTAACTGCAATGCTGAGTTCTCTGATCTTCTCGATTTATAAAAAAAGTTCTCGAAGCTTCCCTTAATATGATCTCACAACTTTCTAATCTTCATGTTACTTCTCTTACGTTTCCAAATTTTTCGTTAACCTCTCGGTACTTTGCTCAAGTTTTCGGAAATTCCCCGAGTTTCTCGGAACTTCTTTAAAGTTCCAGAAATTTCCTTCAAATGAATTGATCTGTTCTGATGTTCTCAGAGCTTCCCTAAGTTCTCTCAATTCCCCCGGAAAAAAATAGAACAGTCCTGAAAACCATTAAATTTCCCTGAAGTGCTTGCACTTGCGAAGTTACCAAAATATTGCTGATACTTTGACTATATGTTTAGTATTACTTCTGCGTGAAGTCAACGATTTACATAGTTGAAGATGCTATTTCGAATAACAGACTGAAGTGGTAGTTTTTATACGATAGATGAGGAGGAGATGAAAGTATAGAATTGATAGTTCCGTTTAGATTACGGCAGTGTGAAAATTGCATATAGAAAGTAGATAGCGAGCTAGGACAACTTTTAAGGAAGGTACAAATCGGTTTTATCATCTCTCTTTACCAAACCTCCACTTTGGAGAGGGATGGTGAGGGGTGTCCCCCCAGCCACCACTGGCAAAAAGAGATGATCGCCGACCGCTCAAGTACCAACGATGTGTTTGAAACAGTTCTACCGATTTTTACCGCACTTCAGTTGTTATTCCTAGGAAGGCATCCAGTCGTAGGTTTGGAAATTGCAGCTATTGTTTACCCCTATCACGATATGCGCTCCTGTCATCGTCGACTTGACGATCTTCCTCACCATCCCTCTCCAAAGGCGGAGTTTGGTAAAGAGAGATGATAAAACCGATTTGTACCTTCCTTAAAAGTTGCCCTAGCTCGCTATCTACTTTCTATATGCAATTTTCACACTGCCGTAATCTAAACGGAACTATCAATTCTATACTTTCATCTTCTCCTCATCTATCGTATAAAAACTACTACTTCAGTCTGTTATTCGAAATAGCATCTTCAACTATATTTCTGATGTTTTCTCGATTGGAACAGCTTTTTCCAGTTTTGCGGTGACAGTCGTCCATACTTTAACTAGAAGGGCTTTAACCATACGATGGCGAAGGGGGGAAATGGTTGCATACCATCCTGGTGACTTGAATGCGCTTCGACGCACCAAACAAACCCGTCTACCAACCATTGATTGTTCTACTTTTGTCTGTTTCTAATCCGCAGCACCAACGTCCTGGAGATCCGCTGCAAGCTGTACTCGGGTTCGGACGTCCAAAACACCGGCGTGTGCGTGCACGGAGCCGAACTGAACCCCTGCGGGAAGCTTTCCTGCCTGAAGGGCGTCGGTGATAAGTGCGGTGAAAGCACCGCCGGCATCATCATGTCCGGCAAGTGCGCCAGCGGTCTGATGTGCTGCGGGGGCCAGTGCGTCGGGTGTCAGAAAGGAATCTGCGACCATCGCCTTTGCCCACCGAGGCTGCCCATGAACCACCATCCGTTTGGTTTGAACCAACAGCAACCGCTTGGAGTTTTCCCCTCACTGTACAAGATGTTCGACTATTACAGCAGTGAGACGGAGTAGATTGGTGCTTGAGAAGAAAGAGGAAGATTAGAAACGAATTGGAACGTCGTGGGTGGGGGTTGACTGATTGTAGGTTGTAGGAAATGAACCAATTTTGAAAATCCGATTTAAATATGCAATGGTAGCCATATGTCTAGTCGTTTGTATATCGTACCAAATCTAAGCTAGCCCATAATAGTTCGTACTAGTCGTGAACAAATTTATAAAAATATAGCGAAAACAAAATTACTAGACCAAAACAAAATAAATGGATGTGATATTACCGCAAAAAAAAACGCAAGAAATAAAGCGCAAATTTAAAAAGCATTCAAGTGATTTATTCATTGTGTTAAACAATCAATGTTATCGTTTAGTTATTTTAGTGCCCGCCCACGACCCCACATGACCTTTTTATTTAAAATCTCTCAGAAAAAATTGCTAGTTAAAATTCTGGTAAAAGATTTAACTGTTTTAAAGTTTAAAATTGTGATTGTTTTTAGTTTTTTTTTTATATTAATTAAGTGTGTTTTAAAATTTGGGTTGAAAAATTTGTTGGTTTTAAAACTTTTGGTTTTTTTTTTCAGAGTTAATTTTGGTTCAGTGTTTTTATGTTTTTGTGTGCTCTTTTCAAGAGTTTTCAGTCTTTTGTTTTGTTTCAATCAGTCTTGTTTTGCTTGTTTTTTTTTTGATGTTCAGTTTTTTCAATAGAATTTTTTGTTTATACAAATGTGTTCATCGTAAACCAAATTTACACCATTTGCTTAATGAGTACGGATAGGAAAAAACTAGTGAATAAAGTGAAAAAGCTTTTCTGTCAAGTAAGGTAAGACAAGTTCAAGTTCAAGATGCTATTTTAAGAATCTCTCATTAAAAATTATGTCTTTCAGATATTTATCGCTTTGGAATTGGAATTGGAAGCTCAGAACCCTCTCGAAGGTGCAATCCTAGCTAGACGAAACGTCGGAAACTCAGTCAACCGAGCAGAAAAGCTCCTAAACAGTCAGGTAGGAAGTACCCTAGATTCGAAATAAACAATAGAACCGCCGAAATCCCCTCGTTGCTGTGGTCTCTTCTCGCTTGCCGCTTGGGTACCGTCCGTACCGCAAGCTTTTCCCGCTGGCCAACCACAGATGCCGTCCTCGTCGCTCCTGTCCCTCCGTTGGATCGTGCTCTCTTCTCGCTGGCCACTTCTATCACCGCCCGTGACCGAAGCTCTTCTCGCTTGCCGAGCACGACCTCGCCATCCTACTCCGCCACCAGGAAACCGCCCTACATACAATAACTCTCCGACCCATCTTCTCGCGACTTGCTGCCTCCTCTTCACGCTTGCCTGGGTCACCTGTCGCCTAATCTGCCAATCCCGTGTCGGTCGTTCCTTGTTTTTTTTTTATTCATTGATGTTGTTGTTGTTGTTGTTTTTGTTGTAGTGGACATGGATAGGAAGAGAAAAGATCAACTTCTCGAGGCACTCTTCCGGGCAGTTTTGGATGAGGCATCCAGGCTCGAGATGAAAGGCCGCCCGGCCCGCAAAGCCGGCTCGGCCAGTATTGGAAACAAAAACAAAACCCATAAACGGCCGTCGAAGGTAGTAGAACAGCATTCGCTCGATAGATAAAAATAGGAAGAAAATGTTGAGTTTTCAGATATGTGCGTTTTCTTTTTGTTTCTTCTTGTTTTTCTGGAAGGTCTCGAAGGAAGGAACTTTAGTGTGATGTATTATACGTATTTTACGTTCGACGTTGATATTTCGTTGATTCGCCCGTCGCCTAATCCTAGAAATTTGTTTTCCCATCTATTTTTGGAGTAGTGGAGAAGTGGTGGGTTGAGACTCGAAAACGCCGTCCAAAAATTCATCTGATCCACGGAAAGAGTGCCTCTGCGAGCCCGGGTCGTCCCCGAAGGAGCCACCCAGGCGGAATCGATACTTTTCCCCATCTAGGTTTAGGTTAGGTTTGGGGACAAAGCGTACGGTGTGAAGTTGTCTCCTATTGCTCGTGTGTCATCGTCAGCGGCCTACTCGGATTGTGTCAGCTCTCATGTTTCGGAAAAAAAATTACGCTGCTTCCCGACTCCTACGATTTGGTACTTCGTGTGCGTCAAATTTGGGTGGACTTTGCTTGATTTCTCTTCTATTGAGCAGAAAAAGTCTGTTTATGGGCAGTGCCCCTCTTCAAAAGGAATGAAAAGAAGCGAAAGCTTAAACAGCCTTTAAACAACTTGAATTTCGGACTTGCACTTAGTGGAGGAACTTCTCCCAGCTGACGATTACTACTTAGGCAACTCAAAGGCCTTTTCACTGATCGCATTTTTTTTCCGGTCTAAAAGACCTTTTCAAACACTTTTTCCGCAGCGGATGATAACTTCACATTTTTCAACTGCTTCCCAACAAACTGGAACTTCTCGGCTTACTCATCTGGCCGGGCAGACAAAAGAACTTTATCAGCAGAGCTTTTTCAAAAGCCATTTCTGCAGCACTTTTAGTCTTGGCTTTAACAACACTCGAGAAACACTTGTTGAAATTTAAGCCTTTATCTCATTGATTTTGAGCCAACGGGCCTTTCCGCACTTTCACATTTTTCACATCGCTTCTGATAGCTTGCATAGAGAAACAAAATAGGCCTTTTGCACTCTCGTGGTGCGTATTTTCGAAAAACATTGAACTGCTTCATTGACACCATATTACTGCGGTGGATTATGACACAGGAAAGCCTTTTTTTTATAAACAGCTTTGAGCCATTTTCCCAGAAAGCGTGGCACCAAAGGGCCTTTTTTAGAATAAAACTATCACATTTCACTCATCTTTTTCTCTCACCAGGGGGGGCAACGAAAGTCATAGCAAATGGATGGCTAACTTGGGGACAAAATAGGCCTTTTGCATACTCATGATGCTTTAACATTGACTTTTTTTTCTTTTGAAAACATCGATCTAGCTTCACTTTTCACATGGTGATTCTCGCGTTTCTTGAAGATTCCAGTCGGGAAGAGCCTTTTCGTTGTTTGTAGACGATTTTCGTTTAATTCATCGACACTGCCGCATGAGAATGAACCCCCATTGGGCGCGGGATGTTCATCTCAGCGATGACTTTACTATGGAGTCACGAGCCTTATGGGAGCTCCCAGGCGCAAAAAAAAAGCGTTTACACTGTTGATTCTCGATTGCATTCAGCTTTCTGATCTCGAAGATTTATCGAATTGAACTGGTCGTTGAATCGTTCATAAAATTGGTTTTCATTCAGGACGCTTGAGAATGAACCCCCATTGGACGCGGGATGTTCATCTCAGCGGTGGCATTTGGAATTTGCCGAACTTCAGTTGAAACTGGATGCTACTTGGAGTTTCGTCTCGTTGATCTTTCAAACGCACGAAGATGAACCCCCATTGGACGCGGGTAGTTCATCTCGGAAATTTACTCAACATTAATTACTGGACTACTGGATGCTACTGGAGTCACGATCGAACTTGTTTGCGTGTTTCTTTGGGCTGAAAAGCCTTATCACTTTGATTGATTCCGACTTGCGGTTGTTGTTGTTGTTGTTGTTGTTGCACTCATGGCCTGCCATGCCAACTGACGGACGAGAATGAACCCCCATTGGACGCGGGATGTTCATCTCAGCGATGAATTGGATGTTTGATTTACAGACATTGTAGAACTTCTAACGGCACACACTGGTGGAACAAGGAGAATGAACCCCATTGGACGCGGGAATTCATCTCAGCCAAAAGGCCTTTCTGTTAACAGGAATTGCTCCGAATCAGTAAGGATTCTGATCATGTTTTCGAATTATGTTGAAGATTCTGACGCGCGAGAATGAACCCATAGTGCGGTGCGGTGTTCATCTCCATTAATGGCATGAGAATGAATCCAGTTTTTGAGGTGTTTTGGAATTCATCTCAGCTAGCGTGCGAGTAACATTTGACTAGAATCTCATTCGTTTCTCGTAGAAAATTGGACATTATCGAGTATGACGGCTGTCGAAATTCTTACCACTAGTAGTGTAAGTGACAGAGAGAATGAACCCATTGACGTTGGAATCCATCTCAGAAATTGCCTTCAATGATCCAATTGAAATTTTTTGGTTTGTTTACTTTCTGCCGAAATGTGCAGATTTTGAACTTATTCTTCGTCGATGATGAGTCTCTAGGGACGTTACGTATGACGTTGACTTTCCATTCCAGGAACTCGCTTCTCCGAAAGCATTTCTTCGTCGAATTCCGTGCAGAAAAAGCACACTGAAACAGCCTCCGCAAACGCATCAAAGCCCTTTGGTTGGCTGGTAGAAACAGATATTTCACATTCACTTTTCCTCATCGCGTGCAAATCTCCTCTCCTCAGGGACGATAATATGAACAGGGACAAAATAGAACTTGCTCCTCATTTTCACTCTCTCACTTCACTGCTCCTAACTCGAATTTCCTATCACTGCAAGTCTGCCTGATCGCTCCAATTCCACTCAAAGGAAGGGGGTGCCAAATCGGTGACGCAGCCATCAGCACGTAGCCAGATGTACGGATGATGCCACGGTCCCAAAGGCAAAAATCTCAACCACTAAAGAGCCCACTTCGATTCGGGATGATCGGATGAGCCGCCAACCGTAAGTCGAATAACGGCGTCCAAAACGGATCGTTCGATCGATCGTACCCAAGACAAAAGGTTCTAACCCAAAACTCACAATAGACGGATCTATATAGAGGCAAGTGCAAATCTGAAAGTAAAAGAAAAAACGCGCTTCCACATGGTTATGTAAAAAAAAGGGGGGCTTTACCGGACTCCGAAGTTGTTGTATTCACTCGAATGCCCTAGGACGGGGACAAACCCTACTCGTGTGGTCAGTATTCGGAAACTGCGCTGAACCGATCGTCGGGGTGCGTTTAGGTCTTCTTGCGGTGCGGTGCGTGTGGTGCGTCGCGATGACCCATGGGTTCCATCAGCGCCGGTGTTAGAAGGGGGGATGCAATTTATAGAGGATGTTTCGTGCTCTCTCGCTTTATCGCGTTATCGTCTCAATTGTGTTGCGTGGATGAAGTACCAACATGAAGTAGATGGGAAGTACAGGCATTCGCAAATCTCTGCGCCAAACCAGCAAGAAGAAGAAGCGGCGTTGTGTGCAGGGTTGGAAATTGCCACGGTTGCAACGATTGCTCGACCGGCGGTCGGCTTGCATGGATGAGTTACAGATGCTTGGACGTGTATATATGTATGGATGTGGGTGTGTGTAGACTACTTGCTTTTACGTAACACATGCTCCAACTTTACGGTATTAATAATATACACTTTTGTTTGCATAAATTTGCACTAGGTGGCATTACAATACTTCAGAATAGTAGAGATGTTATGATGAGGGTTACAATTTCAAGCTTTGTAAAGATCACATAATAGCATTGGAAAAACAATGGTGCTTCTTCGTATCATGATTTTACATCACTGTACAAATTCAGCTCTCTCCATGAGATGAGGTTAACATTCTAGTGAAAACATTACAAAAACATACATTTTCTAGAACTTTTTTGGTTGTTCAAAAAAAATCACATTACAATGCAATCATTATGGTGTTTTTTTTTTTTCTATCATACAATAAACTTTTACACTTTTCAAAAGCATATTAGAAATAATTTCACTTAAACTCACACATTTTTAGCTCTTAGCAGCAACTAGTAGTAAACACTAACACTAGTATATAAAAGAAACATAAACATAATCATTCAACTTCAACACTGGAACAAATCACAAAGGAAAAAAACAATACAAAAAAATTGCAATCTTCATACAAATCGCTTCGCAGTTCACAGAACACCGAGCGCGTAGCATTCAACATTTGTTTTTCTTCATTTTACACTTTTTCTTTTGCTCTTCGTTTCGCTACTCATATGCATATACAGGTATGTGTGAGATGAGTGAGTGCTGGGCGCCCATGGGACACCGAGCGAGTAGCCGAGCACGCAAATTTCCTTTCAATGCTGGGCGCTACAGAGAGTAACACCGAGCGAAATTTGCCTTCTTCATTTATTTTTATTTTTTTCATTTCTCACAACAGGGCCGGGTACTTCACAGAAGTCGCAGCATTTGTACTTTACTTTACTCGACACATACAAACAATCATCATTTGGGCACAAATTTGATTGAACAGAAAATAAAACTTTCGCTTCAAGCATAGCGCATATCATCATCACCTGTTTCGGGTGGTTTTCATGTCACAATAGATTATTTTTTTCTCATCTGTCAGACGGGGACATTTTGTTTTTTTTTTTTCGTTTTCATATTGAAAGCACAATAGAGGCATTACATTGATCGATGTGGGTTAGTTATGCGATAGAAATAAACAAACTACTGCAAGGTAAATCACTCTTAGGTGCTAATGTTGTTCCGGTTTCGTACACAACTTCACTTAGGGGTGAGGAAATTACAAAATTTTCCTGTGCTCAAACACAAAAAAGCATCACTAGATGAACAATAGTAGTAAATATCAATAATCAATAGAATATACACAGTAAAGGTTAAACATTACATTTTCGAAAGGAGAAATGGAACCACTTATGTGTGTAAATATATGTATAAAATGTTACATAAAAGCCCAAAACATAGCTTAGATCAAGCGGGATGTAGATTTCTTCATACTTATCAAACTCTTATTGTAAATTTCACAGCCATTATACAATTAAAACCAATAACGTGTAACCACTTCAAACACTAGTAGTAAATTAGGAGTGTAGTAACAATTGCCATTCTTTTCTGTAAAAGATAAATTATGTGTTTAATCCTTAAACAAAACCCCGTTTTCCCGTGATGGCGTAAGCCAAGAAAAAACGGTTAACACTACCATAAATCGCTAAACGCACTACTAGTGAATTATTAGATTTTTGTTTAGGGTATATAAATTAGATAAAAAAAAGATACATAAATAGAGTAAAACAAATTAGCATAGCTACCACCACATGCGGTCCCAACTTTGGGGCTTCCTTCGCTGTCACTAGTTTCAAGGTATGATATCCCGCATAAGCACGCACACTGAAGTATATGTTGGTCAGAAGAAGCTGGATGATTGGAAAGATAACCGCAAAAATGCCTAACACGCACACGCACAGATCAAAACAAGGTACAATTTCGGAAAACGCCACACGGTGTCCGGTCGGTTTTGCTGTCATTTGTTTAGATTCTCTGCAAAAGAGTAAAACTCTGGTTGTCGAGGGGGAAAATTTCAACTCTGGATTACCGCAATCAAGAAGAGGTAGAAGAAGACGGATGCTGCCCTATCAATTCGATTCCCATTGTGTGTTGCTTGGCAACTGCGCAATTTCTGCGGCAAGGCCTACTGATATTTCCAACGCAAATTCGCGTATTCAGAGCTGCAAGTACGAAAATTCTGGTTGTTGGGGAAAAAATGCATTTTGCTTACGTTCAATGGATGCGGAACCACGCTTCAATGCGTATAACTGCGATGTTATCGTGTCAAATATGTATCTGGTTGCTCCAATTCTAGATGCTAGACCAGTTGGTCGAAAAATTCGCCATATCTTTTTTGTTCTGCAAATATCTCAAACTCTGGTTGTTCTAACTAAAATCAATGTGCTTACGGTTGTATGGCCGTGCTTTCCCTGATGAATGTCGCGCTTCTAATGTTGAGTCGATGGTTTCCTCTTTCTAAATTAGAAATCATATACCTGCCCCCGAATATACACTCACTCATAAGACGACGACTCGTTGGGCACAACTGCAAAAGAAAACGGAGATTCTGGTTGCGAAGATATCTGTTGTCAAGGTTACCGCAAATTCCGCCGTGTCTCAAACACTACTGCGTCATAGCGAACGCTGAGCGCTGCTGATATACGAGTCCTATTTGTGTCTATTTTAGCTCTGATTCTCGGTCTGTCTGTGTTCCCTCTTTCTCTCGCTATCTTCCTTTGCTCTTGTCTCTCCCTGTCCCTCTCTTTCCGAATGGGGATTTTTTGCTGTTGTTGTTGTTGTGGTGGTGGGGGTGCATGACGAGGTTATGTTTGCAGAGAGTGTCAAAAAAGAACAGAAAAACAAAAGAAAAACACAGAAACTCGGCTGGTTATGAGAGCCGGACCGAAGTTGTGAAAGAAAGGCCGGGGCTAGACGTCGGGGGTCTCTTCCGGGTTTTGCTTCCGTCTTCCGATCGCGTCCAGTTATAAAACCGTGTCCCGTTCGTCGTTCTCTGTCTCTCACGAGGGTGGATAGTATCAGAGAAAAAAAGCAAAACAAAACGATAGACATAGAAACTCGGCTTCCATCGCGGGACAGCCGGACCAAAGCTCATCGGGTGTTGCTGTAAAGACGAAAACTCGGGTTTTGCGAAGGGTAGTATTGTATCGTTTACCGAGCTCGTGTGTGCAAGTCCCTTCACGTTCACGGAAGCGTTACGTCATGATCCGGGGAACTCCGGGCGGTTCGATGCCGGTGGCGTCCACAGGTTGTATGGTAGAGAGATGGATGAAATAATGCAAGAAGAAGAAACAGAGAAACTCGACCAAGATGGCCGGACCGGGGAGAGAATCGATCGGATTCGATTGGGCCGTGTCGCACGTCTCGCTCGCGTCCGTGTCCCAGAGTATGTAGGGAGTAAAACACAAAAGGAACAGAAACAATAAACAGAGAAACTCGGCTCACAGCCGGACCGTGTTTGGGTGTTCTGCAATAATATGAAAACTCGAGGTTTTGCTAGTCGATTTGTGTTTGTTTACCGCCGTTTTTTTTGATGGGTCTTCACCGGTGAGGGGGGTCTTCCGAGGTTAGGTTGCTACGTAGAACAGATGGAAGAAGATAGAACAGTGGAAGCCTAGCTACTCGCTGCAAATAATAAAAAAAAATCTGGTTTTTGGCGTTAAAACAGGACGGAGCCTGTAATCGATCAAGCCTAGCGGAGACGGGGCTTTAACTTTCATATTATTATTTTTTTTCTAGTATGTTACACACTGGTTTTCGCCTTCTCGAACCGTTGGTGAGGGATACCGTAAATGATCGCACTAACTCACTAGCTGCCAGCTAAACTTGCTTTGAACAGTTTCCAACTCTGCAAGAAAATAAATGCGTGCGTTGAAGTGTAAATGTGTGTGCACTTTACCTCGATCATCTTTTCTGGGTACAAAATGAAAATAAATTTCTCTTCCTGTGTCTTTCTCTTGACGACCTGTCCGAGCAGTGCACGTCTAGACACGTTCAGCTCGTCGCCTACTTAGATGTGTGGGGATGAGCCATTGGAACAACGCAACTGTGCACTCCATTTTTTTTGTCCTCTCTGTTTCTCTATTATCTGAGCCCCGTACTCCTTCTCTCCCTCTCTCTCTCTCTTTCATCCTACATATAACCTGCTCATTCGCTTCTAGAAATTCCAAAAAATCTGGTTGCAAATAGAAAAAAATCAGCACTAGTTACCGCTATGCACATTTCGGTTTCGATTGCTGCTTTCAAGCTTTTGATTTCTCTCCAAGGTGACCTCGTTTGGGCTTCTCTCTCTCTCTGCCTGTCTTTCCTACGTTTCACTTCACCTAAACCCATTTTTCTTGTTCTCTGCGCGCTCTGTTGAAAGTGCATTGTTGAAAACGAAAATTTCATGCGTGTTGCATAAGCGATGTTGTGTGTATGTATGTTGTGCCTTGGCTTCTGAAGCGTCGCGGGGGCTTTCTGCTCGCTCTTCCGCGTGGCCATTTTAGGTTTTTTTTTTTTTTCGTTCATGAAAAATACAAAATCTGGTTAGGAGAAAAAACGTGCTCCGGGGGGTTAGATCCCCACCGAAAGCCACCTTCCACCGTCACACAATCGCAATGGAAAACAGACAAATCTAAGGAAATGCATGCTGTCACGTACTCACTAAAAAGCGCATAAGCACAGTGCTTCTACTACTACGCTCCTTTTCAGACTTTCGATTCGATCGAAGTTGAGCGCGTTGCCTTGACGCTGTCGCCGCTTGCTGCCTAGTTCGTTTCAGCATGCTCGCTTGATGAGAACTTGGGTTTCGCTCGTGGATCCGTGTTGGTGTGACGTGTACGACGCTGCACGCACGACGGAAGACGGGTAGGTCCTTCCGAAAGGGGGCAGTTGGCCAGTAGCATTGTCACAACTCGGCATCGGAAAACACCAGCTCGACGCAAACAGCGCTAGCAGCAGCAGCTCGAAGGCAGCCTGTCATTCTCTCTCTTTCTCACGCTCGTTCGCTCGCTCGCTCGCTCGCTTTCATATTGATCTAGTATTCTCGAGTACACCCTCTCGCCTCGGACGATCGGACACGGATGAAGCCGATGAAGATCTTCTCCAAACCCACACCGGGGATTTTGCATTCATTATGCTTTCGGTACTTTTCTTTCTCACAACAAGGATTGTGATAACTCTTGGTGACGCTTCTCTAGGTACGCCCCCTTCAGAACTCTGCGGCGAGAGTTCTATCTGAAAGCTGTAAATAGATACACATCACCAATTAGTTGTGCCTTACGTGCTACGGTAAATGATAAAACAGGAAGTCTTTAAATTTTTACGCAACAAGTTAATAGTTTATTTACACAAAATTTCTCGTACGTTTTTCGTTTTCGGATTGCGAACAAAAAACCAAAACACAGAAAACAAGACAAAAAATATAGAAATCTATACTTTTTTAAATTGTTTTGCCAAGAGAAAAAAAAAGTGTAATTACGGGTTAATCTACTCGCGCGATTCAATATGAATCAAAAAGTACAATACGCCACTACGGTACGCATTCTAATAGGGGGAAATTCTGTTTCATACTTAAGAGTTAGAGTGTAAAAATAATAAAAAGTGACACACTACGAACCAAAATCAAGATTAGGTTTCAGTTTCCAGACGACATCCAGCCGATTGAGAGCAAGCCCCGATGGTCGGATGGTCGGAAAGGTGCATCACTGTCTCATTTGGTACTGGAAATGAAAAACTTGATTAAAGATACACTGTCTTACACTAGTAGTAGATTTGTAAATGTATAAAATGGTTTAGTTTTTTGATTTTTCAAATTTTCATCTGCCTAGCTCCTAACAGTACGTTTCTTCTTCATTTCACATAATGGAAATATTACAATCATATTTTGCTCTGCTCGAGACACGACGTCGGAGGACGACGAAAAAAAAAACGTAAAATAGACCTACACAACTTTGTACAACTCAGCTTTACAAAAATATACAGACATCTAAATTTCATGCCGATTGCTTCATCACATCGTTTTGTATCATCGCATCATTGCGCTCTCATCTCGCCACGATTACATCGGTGGAATTTTCCTGATTCGAAACAAAGACCTATCCTATCCCCACTCACCTTGACGCGTCACACTGCGAAACGTTTCGATCACCGACTAATATTCGTACCTACTCGATTGGGTGGGGAGAACCCAAGGCAAAACGAAAACATTGCACTCAAACCCTGTTTCGGGAAGGGAAAGTTACCCGTTGTTCTCGAATACTCACACGCACACTCACACCAACTTAAACTCGAGCGACTACGAGTCTGCTGGTTTGACATCACATTGACGCCATTGCGTTTCAGCTTCTTTTTTTTTTCATCGCTTTAGGTATGTGTGTGTGTATGTGAGTGGTCGAGTCACGCTCGCTGATGAAAAATTTTCAATTTCAAAATGGCGACCGACGTGTTTTCGCAACTTTTGTGTTTGGATCGTCGGGAAACGTTTCGAATGCGACGCTTCGAGGGCGAGTTCCATTCTCTAGCACTGATTGCACGTAATTTATACATTTCGAGATCGAGAGTTTGTGTTCCCTACTCAAAGAAGAAAATCTAATTTGATTGACTTTTCTGGGAAAATAAGTCCTTGCTCTTTTTGGGACTCCCTCTTTGTCTTCTATCGGCTAAGAGGGGTCTTGATACTGTTCAGTTCCGTTATGAAATTATTGATTCCGTTAAAATCTTCGCTCCAGATGGCGTTGGACGCGTTACGGGTTTTTTCTTCCTCTTCCTCCTCCAGGTCACAGTACATCCGCGGGGGCTCGGCCAACCGGGATCGGATTCGGGCCCACTTAATGGCCCTATCTTCTTGCTTCCGGATCTTCTCACGCCGCAGACATTCTTCGGCGTGAGAAAGCGCTCCGGTTAGCATGGCCAGCACTCGCAGGTCCTGTCCGCGAGTTTCACGCTTCACGACGAATTTCTTGTTCTTGATCTTACGGATCCAATCGTCTAGATTGTCTGACTTATCAAACCGGGACGCGATTCGGTGCTTGGTAGCGACCATTTTTTCATTCAACTAACTTTTGCGTTTACTTTCAGAACAAAAAGCTCTAAGCTACAAGTATTTGCGTTTTCTACGCATTAAACTGCCTTGGCTTCTCTCTCTTCTAGGTTCTAGGTCCAATTACTGCTGTTACACACCTGCTTTAGGACTCTCGCACTGCAGTGTTCGAACCGAAAAACGATCAATTGTAACAACTTTCAGCTTCCACTATCAGCTAACAACTTAGTGCACTTCATAAATGGAATTTACTGACTTGTACTTATTTTTTTTTTAAGTGACTACACTTTAGGACTTTGCCAGAGACTCTAAAAACAGTACCACTCTCAACGACTGCGAAGACCTTTCTGATCGAACACTGCTGCCTACGGTTGGTAGCTAGCCTCGACAGTCATACGAGCGTGTGATCGAACTAGAGCGGGGTATTGTCGAGGACACACGCACACCATTGCTATAGCGAACGCTTATATACCTGAACGGTACCTGCGCTCGCTTGACAGTGTATGCGTGTGTTCCACGTTCCCTTCCCTGTTGTCGTCGTCGTCGTCGTCTTCGCCGCCTTTGACGATTCGTGCCGTGTGAAAGTAGATTTCAGAAAAGAATGAAATTCAAGTTTTTTCACGACATTAGCGTCCATTTTCATCGAAATTATCAAAAAATAGAACTAGGGCTTTTGAGTAAAAATTTTACAGGAAAATTAATTTGTTAGAAGACTTCAAATTGAGGCCATCGATTAATACGTAATTTCACGCAAGGGGAAGCGGCTACCAATACCAACAACGCCGAACGGCAATGCGAAATTGGATTTGTCACGTACAATCACAGTGTACGGGGCCTCCCGAAAATAGGAAACAAATGTGGATGAGCAAGAAGACAGTGTCATTTTTTCCAGAAAAAAAACCCCTTAAAATGATCAGCAAACGTTTGTTAACGAAATTTCGATTACAATAGCATGAAATGCCAGTGAATTTCCTTGAGAAAATTAACCCCCCAAGTACGTTGCAACATTCGCATTGTTCTGCTGATTCGATTTTACAACCACTACAAGCACAGCTGAGCTGTGCTGGCTGACCAAAAAAAAACTGACGCATTTGTTTTTGCTGCTCTGATAATGTTGCTGAGGGGGCTCTACAACCACAGATGCAGCGGTCCTATTTCGGCGACGTAGTGGAAGGAAAACAAGTTTTCCAACCGATTTCTAAACGAGTCGAGAAAACGTTTGCACTTTTCCGGAATCGATTGTTTTGCAGCAAAAAGTATGAATTGCTTCAAAGATAAACATGAGTAATGGGAAACCCCTACCATCGGAAACTTCCCGGACGACGTCATACCCACATATGACAAAAGTCACGTTTCCTTCCTACAGACAAGTGGCGAATAACATTGAAAAAGTTCAATAGCTGATGACTGGACAAAAGCAGCAGCAGTCACTTTACTCTGCTGCGCGTCCTTGTGCGGGAACCGTTCAAATCCCCCTTGCGGCGATTTTTTTTCATCATACGAATAGAATTCATCATCAAAGTGGCCGTAGACTGGCGTCTTTGAACCACGTCAAGGCCTGCTAGATCTAATCTTTTTTTGGAATTACCCTCGTTCAAATTACGACCGAAAGAAGCCTCTTTTTCCATAGGTCGAACAAAGTGGTGCAGCAACTGCACCACTTTGTATAGATGGAATGTCAGAAGAAGAAAAAACTGGAAGCAGCAATTTGCGTGGATGTGTGCGTAAGCACACAGAGTTCGACCGCGTGCTACCAATACAGACGAACAGTTAGAGCATGAACAGGAAAAAAAATACCAAAATAAGCTTCTACGTTGCTACTATATATGGGGGAATGTTATCGTTGCTTTATGAATGCGACAAAGTGGAACTGTTTCAAAATGTCGAACTAGTTTTGCATTATTTTGTTCAAAGGATATGTCTAGCACCTTTTGAAAGGCGAATTAAAATTAGTCCCATAGAGAGCAGGGTTGGGAAAAATCTTCGCTATCAGCTGACGACTGAAAGAGGGTGATCATGAATAGATGAGCAGATGTGCGGATAAAATTGCAAATGTGCAAGTTTCGACATGTTCGCGAAAATTTTCAACCCTAGATGAGTTTCATCTGCAATACGAGGGGGAACAAATCTTTCGCCAAAACCGAGACATCTGCTTAAGAAAAAAATCCAGTAGAAGACAGTCGGAAGAATCAACAAAAATTTCTCGATTCAAATAAATTTCATAATGCGCAGTTTGGTTGCTGCAGATGTCTTCGCGTTGGTTGAAAACTTCTTGCATCGATTGTTGTCTTATTCTTCGGTCAACCTTGGACGAAAAAAAAAAACTGATGACGAAATGACGTCGAGTCGAGTAGAAATTTAGGCTGTCATCTTTAATTTTATCATAACAATGCAAACTGGAAATTAATAGTTAACATGCACAACTTTCAATTTTCCAACGTTTAAGCTTATAATGGCACGTAAGCAAATGATACAAAAAAATAACTCAAACGTTTACCTGACGTTGAAGCAAAACTCCATACGAACAACAGGCTATCTCGTGCGTCGTGGCTACTGCGATGTTGTGTGTACTGGGTACATTAGGGTGGGTTAACTGAACAACCCCCGGTTCAACACTGCTCATTCGATCTCTGTTTTAAGGTCTCATACAACAAACTGTGCCAAATTTTAGCGAATTTGGTTATGATCTTGGTTTGCGGGAGAACTTTGTACGGGAAACGGAAGGAAACTATGCATTCGCTTGCTAAAAATCCAAAAATTGCTCAACTTGGACCATATCTGGGACATAGATTGGGAAAACTATGCAGAACACTGAGTCAAATAAACGTAGGAGTTTCATAAGAACTACTTATGAATTTTAGCCGCAAGAAATCGGTATGAATTTCATTGATTTGCATTATGAAAAATGATGTTGACAAAAAATAATCACCCCTATTCTGTATTTCGTTTCGAACGAAATTCTCATACAAAAAAAATATTTTTTTGTATGAGAATTTCGTTCGAAACGAAATACAGAATAGGGGTGAATAAATCGATGCAGACGGGACCCGAACCACGGACGTTTTAGATTACGGGGTCCGTGGGTTGACTACGCGTCTTTCAACGCTTGGAAAAATGAAAAGGTTAAAGGCGTACAACAGCTATCTCATGTTGGACGAAAATCATTCATAAGTCACGCTAATGAAATTCATATGTATCGTTCATAAATCGAGCCTTATGAACTTCTTAAGTTTATTTGCCTCAGTGTACAACTTTGTCGAAGATCGCAAAGTGATTGGTTCGGAGCATGGGGTTGTGACTCACCCTAGTGTACATATACAGCAGGCACATATTATCGAAATACATGCTTTATTTTCACCATACACGTACCTTATCGCGTTCTTTGCCGTATATTTGAATGGATTGAAGGAAGAGTGGTATAAGTCCAGTGTAAGTATTAAAGAAACGGGTTATTTTTAGACACTATTTTTTTTAAATTTAATGTCTTGTCTGTACTTCTGTAGTGAGACAGCCTTTGCAACATGTTATAGTTTATTATCGATAAAACGCTGGCCAGACTGAGGAGTTATAACATGTTATAACGGTTGTCAAATAATTGCAACACAGAAACCACCATCAAGATAGCGCTATAACATGTTATAACTCTGTAGTCTGAACGTACTATAATAGTACGTTCAGACTACAGAGTTTTTTTTTTTTCTTTTTATTTATGCCATAACGTAGCGGTAAGCCACTATTGTTTGAGTAACTACCACTACTGTTGTAAGCAATCATCCCAAGCAGGTAATACATTCCTTATGAAATTTATTACCTGATTGGGAGCAGCAGCCCAGATTTCCCAAGGTCTCATCAGACCCTTATCAAGATATCTGCATCGTTTATGAAATAGTGCAACACAGTCACACAGCAAATGTTCAGAGCTTTCACTCTTTAAGTTACAAAAGCGACATTTATCTTCATGAAGTTTACCAATGATTTTCAGGTGATATTTACAAGGACAGTGTCCTGTTATCAAACCAGTGTATGTACTCAAATCTTTTTTTGAAAGATTAAGGGGGTATTCCCAATCTTTTGCCTTTTTTCGGCCTGTTTTTCAATTAATTTTTTTCCAAGGAAAATGAATAGTAATGCGCCTAACTCTTTGGGATTCTTGTTTATTGAACATTAAAGTTACAAATAAATTTTTTTCGACATAAAAAAAGACATTATTGACGTCACAAAATGGCGGCAAACAGACCCCTGTTCGCCGCAAACGCCTGGACCGGCGAAGACTTTTCTCTGGAACGGCTTCATCTGAAACAGATTTCGTGATGAAATTAATAATCTGCATAAGATTATCTGGAGCTTCTCCCGTTGGCAGCAAAAAATCTTGCAAATTAACAAAATGGCGGCCATATGAAAAAACAGGCGATTTTTAGCCCGCTTTTTTGCAGCTTTAAGGTGCTTCAAACAATGTTAAATGTTAATATTTTTGGCTGAAAGTGGGAGAAGCTCCAAAAAATTTAATAAGGAACAAAATGCGCAAAGATTCAAGTCAATATCTCTTATAGTTTCTGAGAAAAATCTTCGCCCGATAAAAAAAATGTGGTTTCGAGAAAAACGCGTTTAAAGTTTTGACTTTAGTTAAAACCATTTGGGGGTTCTTACCATTAGTCAGCTATGCCTGGACACCGAATTCGCTGATCGGAAAACGGCTTGGGGGGATGAAAGTATATAGTCTAAAGTACAAAAAAACGTGAAAAAAAAATTTGATTTTTTGAAAAAAAAAGATCGGGAATACCCCCTTAAGTAACTTTTGTGTATGAAAAGCGTTCGGCTTTATAGAACGTTTAGATTGCCGAGAATTTAAGGTACTGGTCCAGTTGTACTGTACCTTTGTTTTTTCCCCAGTTTTTTAGCTCCATTTTTAAAGCACAAAAAGAAAGTCCAAAGAATGGTTCAGGACCGATGAATTTCGTGGATGACCCTATTTTTGCCAATTGATCAGCTTTTTCGTTTCCTTCGATTCCACAATGACCAGGAACCCAATAAAGGTTAACCGTATTTCGACAGGACAGTTGCTGTAATAGTTTAGTACATTCCCACACCAGTTTTGACGTGTAAGTTTTTGATTTCAAAGCATTCAGCGCCGCTTGACTATCTGAACAAATGCATATATTCGCATTTTTATAGTTTCTTTTTATGCAAATCGCTGCACATTCTAAGATGGCATATATTTCAGCTTGAAATACTGTCGGCCAATTTCCCATGGACACCGAAAAGTTAACCCCAGGGCCGGTAATACCAGCCCCGACCATATTATCTTGTTTCGAGCCATCTGTATAAAAGATTAATGATCCAGGACTAATATTCAGTCTTCC